AGATAGCTGCTCCTCCGTCAGCCTTCTCCATCCTGGAAATGGTGTCCCCCTCCCATTTGCCCAAGTCAGACACCTGAGAGTCATTCTACTTCCCCGTCTCCCCACCACCCATCAGCTCCATCTCCTAAATGACTTCTTTCTTTGGATTTATTTTTTTTTATTGAGGTAAAATTCACACAATGTAAAACCAACCATTTAAAGTGTACAATTCACGGCCGTAATCCTAGCACTGTGGGAGGCCCGAGCGGGCTGGATTGCTCAAGGTCAGGAGTTCGAAACCAGCCTGAGCAAGAGACCTCGTCTCTACTAAAAATAGAAAGAAATTAATTGGACAACTAAAAATATATAGAAAAAATTAGCCGGGCATGGTGGCGCATGCCTGTAGTCCCAGCTACTCGGGAGGCTGAGGCAGGAGGATCGCTGGAGACCCAGGATTTGAGGTTGCTGTGAGCTAGGCTGATGTCACGGCACTCTAGCCTGGGCAACAGAGTGAGACTCCGTCTCAAAAAAAAAAAACAGTGTACAATTCATTGGCATTTATTGTATTAGTAACGTTGTACCATTATCACCTCTACCTAGTTCCAGGGCATTTTCATCACCACAAAAGGAAATTCTGTACCCATTAATCAGTTTCTCCCCACTCCCCCCTTCCCCCAGCCCCTGGCAACCACTAGTCAGCTTTATGTCTCTATAGATTTCACTATTTTGGTTATTTCATATAAATGGAACCATGCAGTATGTGACCTTTTGTGAATGGGCTCTTTCACATAATGTTTTCAAGGTTCATCTACATCGTAGCATGTATCAGTACTTCATTCCTTTGTATGGCTGACTAATATTCCATTGTGTGGGTCCAAGACATTTTGTTCATCCATTCATTCATTGATGGACATTTGGATTGTTTTCACCTTTTGGTCATTGTGAACAGTGCTGTTGTGAACATTCATGTACAAGCTTTTGTTTGAATACCTTTTGTTGGAATTGCTGAATGATATGGCAGTTCTACGTGTGACTTTTTGAGGAAACATCAAACTGCTTTCCACAGCTGCTACACCATTTTATATCCCACCGGCAATGCACAAGCGTTCCTGTTTCTCCACATCCTCGCCAACATTTGTTATTTTCCATTTTTTTAAAATTATGGCCAATTGAGTGGATGTGAGGTGGTTTTCCATTGTGGTTTTGATTTGCATTTCCCAGATGACTAACCTAAGTAACTTTTTAATCTACCCATCTTTCTCCAATCTGCTGACTCCATTTCCCACCTGCTGTATTGCAACTTCGGCCTACTTCACAGGGTAAAAATTAGGATTAAATGAGTTTATATATGTGTCACTTACCACAGTACCTGGAATATAGTAAATAGTATGTAAGTGTTAGAACGAAGGAGTATAAGGAAGGACATAAGGGTGGAAAGATCTCTTAACTAGATTTCCATTTCCCATCGTCCTTAATCAAAGTCCAAAATCTCTCCTGATTTGCAAGGCCCAAACCAGACTCCTTTCAGTTTCCTGAAGGTATCATGTTCTCATTAGCCTCATAGTCTATGCCTGCTCTGTTTCCTCTGTCTGCCACAATTCCTGGTCTCCTCACCCCAACTCTTTGCCTAGTTAACTCAATCTGAAAGTCTTAGCTTAAATCATGACCTCCTCACCAGAGGCCTTCCTGATTTCCCAGACCAGGCACCATCACTTATATAAAGTAAGACCTTATCTCTTAGACTTGGGCAAGAGAGCCCCCTGCCCTGAGCTTCATGCTTTAGAAGGCATCATATAGTATAACCACAAAGGAACTATTAATAAATCTATTAAAAACTCGGGGATGTCTCTGACACTTGGCATTCATCACTCAGGGATGGCACAGAGCAACTGGTGACCCTGAGCACACATTCCTGAGACGAATACAGTTCAGGCCCTAGAGAAACACTTCTTTATATGTTGCCCTATGTCTAATTTATTTCAATTGACAAATAAAAATTATATTTATTGCATTCCCATTGCTATTTTGAAATATGTACCCATCAACAATATGGAGTTCTTTGCAAATTTCTGTGTCATCTTTGCGCAGGGACCGTGCTAATTTTCTCTGTAATGTTCTACTTTTAGTATCTGTGCTACTGAAACAAGCCCATCCTGTTTTCAGAAACAAAGGTAACTGTATCTGAATGCCCTGAAGGTTTGTGGGTTGTGTCACTGTGAACTTTGGAGATAGCCATGGCTTTGGAGAGCAGGGAGGAATTGAGCTGTTCAAGTGCTTAGCTAAGAGAAAAGAAAATTAACTTGTCAAGTCCTTCCTCTCAGAGAGTGTGACTGCAGTAGATTCTTTCATGACATGTTATTTACCAGTAGTGCTGAGCATTCATTTTCTTGCTTCTCTTTGAGTTCCAATTTCGGGTTCTGGAGGTATCCATGAATCAGTATAGTGTTTATCACATTGCACATGGTGGCCGAGGAACATTTTGTAGTATTAAACAATTTATGTTAATCTTAAATTTTCATATTTGGAGGGCTACAATGTAACATGTGAAACATGATACTGATTCTTTTTGTTGACAGGGGGACACTGAACACCAGAATTGCAAATCGTTTCATTTTTATAAAAATATTTAATTAGATTTAAATTTTCAAAAGTTTAATGAAATATTCAGCTCTTGAGTAGGAACGTTGTCTCCTATTTCCTCCTTTCCTTTCCCATTCTCCTTGCTTATGAATATTTTGTCTTTCTTCCCACTTTAGGTAGTAAGGTATGAGCAAGAAGCTTGAGCTAAGTCCTTGATGGGGGTGTAGGGTGTACCTGTGACTATCTGCTGGTGCCCTTCCGAGGTGGGTTTGGGGAGTGGTAGATGGATGGGGACAGAGGTGGAAGAAAGTCCCAGATTCGTTAACCCATCCTGCCCAGAGTCTTGGGGCTCATGTTGTCCTGGCCAGGCACTTTGAGCTGCTCTCTCCAGAAGCCCTCAGGGGCCGCTAGCTAGGCTGGAATGTCTGTGTTCTCAGAGCCAGGATTTGTACCAGTTCCCTCTCCAGGGCCTTCCTTCCCCCTCTGGGGGTGCAGAAAACTATCCTTTCGAAAGCTGGAGAGGTGGTGAGACTGGATGGGGACAAGGTCTGCTGCTCATTTTTCTCCCAGGATCATTAGAGACCTGGTTGCCACAAACTCACAGAAGGGAAAAGAGCTGAATCCAGAAGCTGGAGGGTAGGGGCAGTAAGAAGTGCTGGCAGACAGAGGGAGAGGTGTGAATAGGGAGAGGTCAGCCAGGGGAACAGAGAGCTAGAGAGAAGACCTAAATCCAAAAGTAGAATAGCCTTTGTCCTTGACATCTCCCTGGATCAGAGTGAATGAGCCACACACCACAGGTTCTTGGGGCAGGCAGCATGGTGCTACTGAACCCTGGACTTGGGGATTTTTGACTTGCATTTTAATTCTGGGGCTGCCTCTTAAGAACTCTGTCATCTTGGGTAAATCTCAGTCTGAGATTTGAGTCTCAGTTTCCTCTTAAGTACTTTTAGCACAGGCTTTGGAATCAGAGAGATTCTGCCCCTAACACCTGCATGACTTCGGACAAGTTACTTAACCTCAGAGTCTCAACTGCCTCATCTGTAAAATGGGCAATAACACCTTAGAGTTGTTGTGAGGATTAAATAAGACAACTGCTGGGAAGCAGATTCCATTGGTAATTTAGGATCGCAGAATAACAGTGAATTTGGGGCCAGGTGACATGGATTTGAGCCGACTGTCCCTAGCTAGATGTGTAAACCAACCCCTCCCCTGTAAGAAGGGGTAACAATACCTTCTGCACAGGGTTCTTGTGGGGCTCTGCTGAGATAAGGTGCATGAAAGCACTTTGTACAGCCCTGTACAAACGTGAAGGATTATTTTTGTTCTTCAGCTCGCCCTCTAACAAAGGCTGAATAAGTACTGAATTGGCCAAAAAAAGGGAGGGCGAGGGAAGGAATGTGAACCTCAGGGGGAGTAGCAAAAAGGCTTGAATAATCTCCACACTGTGTTTCTAACACTTTCCATTAAGCCCAGCTCCAAGGAACAGCTCATGTCCATGGGAGGGAGGTGAGAAATTGGGGAGGGGAGGGGGGTTATGAGGAGAGGGAAAAGGAGCCCACTGCTGCTGTCAAATCCCAGCAAGACATGGAAGGCCCTTGCCTGGTGAGGAAAAAGAGGGGGAGTCTCAAGTACCAGCTCCCTCTGTGACCCAGACTCCCTTGTGATCCACAAAGCACAGCTCCTAGCTTTGAGCCAGGAAATGCTGCCTTCCAATGCCCCCCACCTGGCAGCTACTGAGTAGATTCAAATATGCTCAGGGTTGGCCAGAGAAAAAAGTCAGGAGCTCTGCTGTCCCCTAACGGAGGACAGCTTTTGTGCCCCTCCCCCACCATGCCCTCCAGTTCCCCTTGATCAGTCTGAACTGAGACATGATGCCAAGGCCAGGGCCCTGCTGGTCCTGGGCTCACCGGGAGGCCAGGTCATGAATGCCCTTCCCTCGTGAGCTCAGTCCATAGGATGTGCCAGGGAAATGTTTCCACAGATTAGTGCCTCCTGGAGTGAGACAGCAGCAGCAGGTGGCAGGAACAGGGCAGGGGAGGGAACAAAGCCCAGGGAGTCCTTGAGAAGAAGCCCAAGGACAGAGGCTTTCTTTTCTAGTCTCCAGCCTCCAGAACCAGGGGGTATGGGATTCCTCCAAAGCCCCTGCCTCAGTTTCACCCCCCAGTGCCTGCTGGTGATGGCAATTTTATTTGACCAATTGTGGTGGCAATCATGTAGTGTCATGGTTTGAGTAAATCCAGTTCCAGAAGTAGAGTAAATTGGAGAGCAGGGGGAGAGATGTGGGGCCAGGAGAGGAGAGATAAAGAGGCAGCTCACAAGTCCAAGAAGGGAAGGGAAGAAAAAGGGAAAGGAAATTCTAGCAAGAAGAAATATGTAAGACCTGGAGAAGGCATCCCAGCAAGAGTGCCCTAAATTAAACACTCCTAGCAGGCAAAACCTGGTTGAGATTTTTCAAATCTGCATTTAAGTCAGGCCTGGAGGGTGGAGCAGTGAAATAACCAGCATTCGACAGACAAGGGCAAGAAGGCAGTAAATGCCCGATGGTCAGGGGATGCAGTGTTGGGAGGAAGGGAGAAGGCAGATTTCTGCTGACCTCACCTTACCCCCAGCACTGCCGCTGGGCAAGTTTAGGAGTGAGCAAGGCAGGCGGGAAGCGTATCACAATGTGGTTTTGACCCAAAGTTTCATCAACATTCGCTTTCCCCCTTGAGTTATTCCTGGCCCAGACCCTAACCCAGCTGCTCCCTGACCTCACAGTTCATGCAGGTGAGGAATTGGCAGCATCTCGGTGTCAGCATTCTGGATCAACTCAAAGAGGAATTTCACCTGGGTCTCGTAGCCTTGGACTGAGATTTTCTCATTGATTCCGTGGATGCTGAGGGAAAGAGAGAGGCATTTGGGGGAGAAGGTACAGAACACGCTCCCTAGCCCCTCCCTAATCCTAAAACCACTGGCCTGAGACCCTCCAGGGGTAGGAAGTGGGCAAGGTGGGAAGAGGCCATTAGTAAGGTTTCATATGACATGTTGGTCACCTCAAGGACCCATGCTCATGACAAAAAATAGTGGAGTACATAATGAGTAAATTCCCAGAGAGTTCAAAATCACCTCTTGCTCTGAAATCCATGCAATACTATGTCTTCTGAGAGAACCATCTTTCTCTTTCTCTTAGGACAGATACCCAGCTAGACTTACCCCTAAGCCAGCCCCCTACCCCCTCAACTTGCTAGGGGTAAGTCAGGGCAAGGAGGGCAGCTGCCCAGGGACCTATCCAGTTTTCTGCTTCAGCAGGAACTCTGCTATCAGGTCTCCTGCTCACCAACCTGCCTCCCCACAACAAAAAAGAAAAACAAAGCAAAACAGAACGAAACAACTGAACTACACATGTGATCTCAAAGATGAAAGGAAATAACGAGGAGCTACCTGCCCCCCACTTAAAAACCAAAACTGTGAAAGCTGTTCTTAAGCTCGTATTCGAATATCTTCATTCTGTTTATAACCGACTTATGGTAGGGAAATCAGGTCAGGATGGGATAAGCAGCAGAGAAGTAAATGGAAATCATCCTCCCATGCCCTAGGATTAAAAGTCTGCTGAAGAACCCACAGGATAGTAATTCACTCATGGCAGTTTCCATGGTGTTTTCTTCTGAGAAGCCAAAGCATGTGCCCACTTTGACTTCATGTGTGTTTGCAATTCAGAGAATGCTGAGGAGTCTCCCCATTTTGTAGGTAGAGAAAATAAGGTCCAGTGGGTAAGCATTCTCCCAAAGAGAGGGACAGCTGGGATTAGCACCCAAGAGTACTATCCACCAGGTTCTCACCAATCACCTGATTATCTCCGTCCTTGTAAAAGAGGGGCCAATTCCCACAAATTCTGGGATGACAGGGGCAAGTTAGGTTCTACGATATTTACATTTTAGTTTGCCAAACCCCAGCTTTCTCCCATTCAGTGGACTGTCAGGAGCATGGGGTAGAAAAAGAGGTCAGACATTATCTCCTCTCTACCACCTGCTGTTCCAACCTGTTCCACTCACCTCCTGAAGCCCTCGGGCTGCAGGTAGAGGGGGTTGAACCGGTAGATGCCAGCGGTGAGGTTCATAAAGTGTCGGCTGTCTGTGTTGCCAATACAAATACCTAGAAAAGACAGAGGAAGAGGAAAGAGGCTTTACATGAGCAACCAAGCCAAGGAAGTGGCGGGAGGTGGGCTGGCTGGAAAACTAGGATGACTGGTCACTATGGAGCTGGGCTCTCTTGGGAGCCTGTGGCTGTGATATTTTGTCCTCCAGAAAACCTTACAAAAAACACCATTTCAGCCAGGGATGTGGAATTTCCTCCCAAGAACATTGGTGAGATATCCCTTGAATGGTCCAAAGCTAAGTGTTCCCTCTCCAAGATGACTAGGGAGGCCATATCCACAGCCATTTGCTATTTAAGAAACCAGAGTCTAGATATCACTCTTTTATCAAACCTGACCTTTATTCTATATCATCCTGGGTCGGAAAGAAACACTCTCTGGGGAACTTTACTACCATAATAAGGAACATAATTTCCTGTTATTCTCATCCTTTGAAGGATGATTCTGTCTTCCTAGAGTGAAACCTCAGGTCTGGAAAGTCCCAGGATATTGTCTATCCGGTCCTCCATTCTCCTGAAGGTGGTAGCAAATTACCTAGCTGGGGCTGGGACTTGTCCCCACAGGTGTGTTTTTTGGGAAAAGATAGCCTGGAGCATCAATTCATGTGTGTGGGATGATAATGGATTATAGAAGGTGCCCCAGAAGAGAGAGAGTAAAGCCAAGAGAGCTTTTGAGGGCCAAGAGAGGAGAATCTGGAACTATGAAGGCCAAGGTTCCTGGATATTTGGAGGAACCCTTGATTAAAGCTGGATAAAAGGAAACTGGGCACAGGGCTTAACATTTGAGCATCTCCTCCTCACATCATAGACCAGAGAGTCTCACAGAGTGGTCAACTGTCATCTTGCATCAGAACCCCCTGGGTATATTTGTTTAAAAGGTAGACTCTAGAGTCCAATCTAGATTTGGTTAACACAAATCTTTGGGAGTTGGTCCAGGTAATCTGCATTTTTATAAGTTCCTTTGGTGATCCTCTTCCACTCCTAAGTCTACACAGCATAGATTTGGATGGAGACTGAGGAGGGGGTGCAGAGGGGCGCTGCTAAAATAGGTCTGGGCTGGGAGAGTTTTCTGGGCTGAGGATTCTGAGCCTTGCTGCTGAGCTGTTATGTTAGAATGGGCTAGAACCAGAATCTGGGAAGATCTTGGCCCCTTCTGTTGTGGCACCCCCAGAGGAGGGGGAGTCTAAGGCAATCCCCCCCCATGCCAGAGTAGCTGGCCTAGGTTAAGCAAGGATCCAGGCTTAACTGACCTAATTTATTGTTTCTGCTCCTTTCCTGTTTATTTTCTCACTTCCACCATGAGGGGAAAATATAGTTCCAGTCCCATCAGGAGGGGAAGTAGCCAGCTGTTTCCAAGCTGAACAGCTGGGGTGGGGGTGGAGCAGTGGACATTGGAGAGGAAACATTTCCAGCCCCCACCTCCCTCTAGCCATAGCTGATGAAGTCATTACCTGGGGTGACAATATCGATTTCCGGGAAGACGGACTGTATGGTCTGGCTGAGCAGCTGGTAACCCAAGGCCTGGTCGTCAAAGGGGCTGATGGGCAGGGGGTCAAAGGCATTCAACACGTGCAACTGGATTCGGTCATCAGCCACAATATCCTTGACAAATTCTAGGACCTCCAGGGTGGAGACAGAGAGGATTAGATTTCTTACTGCTAGATTAGATTTCTTTCTTCTCCGCTATCCAAGTACCATAAGAATTTAAATATCCCGATTTCTCACCAGCAAGGCAGAGCCCTGGGGTTTACAGAAAGGACTCATCTTTTAGCGCTGAGACCTCAATTTCAGCTGACTAGCTATCGGGGATGTAACAGCTGTGTCTTCCTGGAAAGCAATCTACGTACGGCATGGTGGATTTAGGTCAAATGTTTCAAGAGAGTTGTCTTATAGCCATGAATCAGGTGGGTAATTGGAAAGTCAGGAAATTACGTGTCTTCCCCTTTGAGTTGTGAGCCACAGGCTGGGTGAAAGTGTCGAGGAGATAGCAGAACGGGATTGTCAACCATCTGGAGGCAGGGGGACAGATGTGATGACTCGGCTTCAACCTGGGAGTCTCAGGCAGGTGATGAAAGGGCCACACAACTTTCTTTCCCCTCTCTGGGTATCCCTGCTTCCTGTTTGTAACCAGTTACACTGGAGCCAGGAAGATGAGCTCAGCACAGATGAAAAGCCAGGAGTTGGGGTACTGGTATGCAAGTTTTCTCTCTTTGCCTCCTTTCCTCAGGAAGGAACTTGAGGAAACTCCTAGAAAATTCAGTCTGAAATGACTAGAGTGAATCCAGCAAAATTCTGAGCCCCAGTCAGGATGTAGACCAGACCCCGAGGATTACATTCCATGGAGCCATGTGGGAATGGATCAGGAGGCTGGCTTCAGCTGGTCCCCCACAAAACCCATCCAGCCACCCAAGGAAAACCCCAGTACTAGTCTAAACCCATTTGATCAGTAGTTGCTTTAAAACTGCCTCGGCCCTAGGAAGGGGGGGGGTCATCCCATAGGAGGGGATCACTTGAATGGGGGGCATTATCTCAAGAGCACCCTAGAAAAATGCTAGGGTCTGAGTCTAGAAGAGAGTGAGGAGTCCTACCTCTGGCTTAGAAGCCATCATTTGAGTCTAACCGAATTCTCTGCTGTTGCATGGGTGAGGTCATCAGAGCTTATTTTCACTCTAGCACTTAATGCCTGAATATTCTACTACAAGAAGTAAGGTACAGTCTTGATGTATTCTCAACCCAGTGGGAGGTTCCTGAAGTTAGCCCCTATGAGGTGGGTTGGGACTGTGCCTGTCACCCCCCCCCACCCCAAATTACTTAGAGGTTCCTGTCCCCAGAAATCAAAGGTGGCACACAGCTTGGACTGCTACGTTTCTCACTAGCTGCTAGGCCAGGAAAGGGTAGGGAATGTGTCTATCTCATTTCTGTATTTCCAGTGCCAAGCACAGGAAAGGCATGCAATAAATGTTTAAAAGATGTGAACCAATGGATGTTTTACATGTAGAGATATTTTCCTTTTAAGTGAATGGTATAGTTGTTGAATCTCTCATTAGCCTCATTTCTTTCTACTTCTTTGACCACTCAGGGCAAACCTTCTTTTCCATGTGGTAGCCTATGAAATTTCTAAAGACTTGTTCCTCACAGAGAGCTGCTGGAGACTCATTTACATTGGGAACATGAGGGAGACCCGATGAAGACAGAGGTAGAGAACTCTGGGGCTGCCTGTGTTCCCGTGGATCCAGCCTGAGGCTCTGAGCACACAGTCCTCAGGCTGGCAGGGAGTGTCCCTGAATGTGGACATGGGCCCTGTGGCCTTTCTCAACGATGGAAGCTTTCCATTCCTGGGGCAGGTGGGCAGGATGGGCTATGGATTCCAGGGGTTTCATCAGATAGACCGGGAAGGAAGGGCACTGTGGCAGGGGAATAGAGAGGAGGGAAGAGTGCCAGGACCTGGGGAGATGAAAGCCCCAGCCGGGTGGAAAACAGCCCTCGGAAAGGGCACGGGGTTGGAATGAGGCTGGGAAAAAACTGGTGGAAAGAAGCTCAATGAGGGGAATTCAGTGATTTCCTGGTCCCAGGGAGAGGACAAAGGTTGGCACCTGATGAAAAGCAGCAGAGCCCAGGACCCACACTGGTCCCCCTGACCAATGCTGGATGGCCCTGGGCAGGATGTCAACTTTCCCCCCGCTCTGCGATGAGGAGTGTGCCTCCCTCCCTGCACGAGGACAAATGGAATCCTCCACGGGGAAGAGTTTAGGAGAAAGGACCACAGATGTCTAGGTGTGGCTGCCCCTGGATGATCTATGCCAGAGAACTGCTCTTAACCCTATTATATTCCAGAATGTATTATTCATCTGAGAGTTGTTGGGTTGCCTTTTCAGATCACTTTTTTTTTTTTGGAGGATCAGGTTTACCTTTTGAATTCTTGTTAGCTCAACTTTATATTTAAAAAGTTGGCATTTCCTATAGATGTGGAACACTCTGTGTAAAGTCTACTCACCCCTTGGTTTTCAGCTCAGATTTCACTGCTTCAGGGAAGCCTCCCTGATGCCCAGATGATGTCTCGTTCCTTGTTATATTCTTTTTATTATTATTCTTTTTTAATTTGTTTTTCATTTTTAAAAAATGTCAGGTTTTTTGTTTTTTTTTTGAGACAGGTTCTTGCTTTGTCACCCGGGTAGAGTATAGTGACATTACACCTCACTGCAACCTCAAACTCCTGGACTCAAGTGATCCTCCTGCCTCAGCCTCCCAGGTAGCTGGGACTACAGGCATACGCCAGCCACCATGCCTGGCTAATTTTTCTATTTTTAGTAGAGACAGGGTCTCTTGCTCAGGCTGCTCTCGAACTCTTGAGTTCACAAGATCCTCCTGCTTTGGCCTCCCAGAGTGCTAGATTACAGGTGTGAGCCACTGTGCCTGCCCTGTTACATTCTCTAATAGCACCAGGTCCCTTTTCATCAAAGCAGTCATCGTGGTTTGTGATTGTACATTCATTTTTTTAATTTTTAAATTGATGTTCATAGCAGACCATTGCAGCACACTGATTTGAGGCTCTGGCCTCAACTTTTTCCTCTCTCCTAACTTTACACGTCCTTCCCATGGGCTTTTATTGACTCTAAAGTTTCCAATATTGTTAATAATGCTCCAGCCTGCATCTATAGGTCATGTCTCTCTCCAGACTTGAGGTATTTATAATTAACTGTTAATACATTATAAGCTTCTCAAACTTCTAAACTATTTTATTTCTCTTTGAACTTGTTTTTCTTCCTGAATATCCCAATCTTGGTCAAAGGCATTATCATGTGGCCAACTACCCAGGTTAAAAACCTTGAAGCCGTTGTGCCTTTCTCTCACCCCACATTTGTAGATAACACACACCACATCCTGTTGAACCTCTCTCTCATCCCTCTTGGGGGTACCCTCTTCTCCACCCATGGCTATGGCTTCACTACAGACCTCCATCTGCACTGCTCGAGATGTTGCAATAGTTTCCTAATTGTCTCTTTCTACTCCAGCACTTCCTTGGCATTGCCACCAGCATTCTCTCTCTGAAACAAATCAGAGTATATCACAACCCTCTCTGAAGACCTCTGAAAGTTCTCTCTTGTCACGGCTCAGGGCTCAAACTCCTTAGCGTGGCATACAAGGCCTTGATCCCCAAATTACAACTCCCTCTCCCATCATTTTCATCTCCCATTACTTCTCACCACTTTATCCTACTCTTTAGCCATAATGAGTGTCTTCTAGCAAAGTCCTATAGTCCTGTAAGGCCCAGCTCACATTTTCAGTGGTCATAAAAGACTTGACCCTCAGAAGTACCATTAGTTTTCTTATTTGCAGTGGTCCTCCAGTAATTTGTTCATCCCTAATTGTTATAATTGCAGTTTAGTGTTATGACTGGAAGCAGACTCTAGAACTAGATTGCTAGACATGTGTTTTGAATATGCTACTTAATTACCAGTATTCTGTGTCTGTTTTCACCAGTTTAATGTGGATAACGCAGCTTCTACCTCCTGGAGTGGCTGTGAGGATTAAATGTGTGTGCATGTGTGTGTATACCTTAGAATGGTGCCAAACACATAGCAAGCCCCACTATGTATACGTTTACTACTATAGGTATTGCTATCATTTATTCATATTTGTCTCCCACACCCAGGCTCCAGGTTCCCCCAAACCAGAGATCACCTATCCTAGCCAAGTACCTGGTACATGGGATGCCTTTGAAAAAAGTTGGTTGAGCAAATGAGACTGGACCAGCCCTAGGATTGGAGTTAACTCAGGTCCTTAGGGCCACACCTCCCTGATGCCGAACCAGTTGTCTGAAACATACAGTACGCACCTGTTGGACTGTCTGTGCAGGGTGAATCCGGATGTTGATTGTGGCCTGGGCCACTGGGGGGATGACATTCACCTAGAGAGAGAACCACAAACCCTGGCCTGAGCCAACCTCAAGTTTTCCACACCTGAACCCTGCCCAGAAAAATGCCAATTACCACCAGTAGGGGCAGAGAAAGCTGATTGAAGAACCCAGGGCTTAATTTTTTTAGTCTGTCCCTTTTCGTCTCTGAGCCAAGTGATAAGTGGTTAAATACAGAGCCAGAGGAGTGGTTAGCCCAGACCTTCGTGCTCCTTGGTCCTGGAGGGGTCACAGAGCTGCTCAGAGCAAGCCTGCTTTCTCTGTGACTGCTCAGACATCTGTTCTGGCCCATGCTGTGCCATTAGAATCCTCCTCTGTGCACTTTCTTTCCCAGGGCACCCAGACGGAACATTTCTGCAGCTGTTAACATTAGTGCCTACTCAGGACAGGACACCCAGAGCCTCTGTCGGCCCCTGTCATGGCACGTTTGATACTTGAGATGGTTTCCCACATCTAATTGCAAAATCTGACTCTGTTCTTTGCCTGACCAGGCAGAACCCAGGACTAATTAAAGACAGGCTACAGAGGGATTGTTCCCTGCAGGGTGGAGAGAACAAACTACCCAAGTACAAACCTTTCTTTGAACCGGTTTGGTGCAAAAAAGCACTAGGTCAGGGACAGGAGAATTGGATTACTGCAAGTTAGCTGCATGATTTTGAATAACTGCAACCTCTTTGTGCCTCTGTTTTCTCAACTGGCAACTGGGGCAGTAATACCCATAGGGCTCTTAGAAGGATCTAATGGAGTAACATGTGAAAGTATTCTGGAGTGATAAAAACACGATTCAAACATAAGGACACAATACTATTATTTCGGTGAATACTACAGGCAGCCGGTGAAGATAGCTTGGTTCCAGCTGGCACACTGGACACTCCAGTTGGCTATGGTAGAAATGAATTCTGGGGCCCCATCCACTTATATCCAACCTGGGCTCTAGATCGCCAGAGCACCTCAAGGTCACATTGTACTCTAGGTGAATGGTGCCCCTGAAGTTGTGCTGGTGGTATTGGAAGTTACAGGAACAGTCTAACTTCCTTCAAGATTTCAGAAAGGCCTGTGCCTTTCGTATGGCTAAGCTTGGTCCTTTAAAGAGAGACTCCCCCTTAGTGGCTAATGCAACTGGAAGTGGCCCAATTTGCTGAAAAGTAATTCTTGGAATAAAAATTTATCAAAGTATTGAATTCACCTGAAACCTATTGCTATAAAAGTAAACCTAACACAGAATTTGTGTTTGCTGAACTTATGTTTGCTAAGGCCACCAAATATCTACTTTTCGGGAAGTGACAATGTGTTTAAACGTTGTATATATCACACATGTTACAGATTTTTTAAAAGACAGGTGAGTTTCTCTCTTTCAATTTAGGGTAACGCCAGGGGAAAATACATTCATCATTAAATTTGTTAGGTGGATAAATCTTTTAAAACATGGGGAAGAATAAAAAAAGATCCTTGGTGGTAGAAAGGTTAGAAAACTTTAGTGACCAAAGTATAAGGTAATATAAAACATGTTGAATGACGGTCTGGACAGTCTGAGCATACATAGATCACAAAACTTAACTCCTCAAATACTCCTCTTCACACTAGTGTAACTGTTGTTTTTTTTTTTTTTGCAAGTATGGACTCAAAGAACCTGAAAGGGCCATGGACACCCTCCACTAAAATACACACCTATAAATTTGGCCAGCAAGTTCAGAGGGTATGTAGACCTCAACTAGACCCTAGGCTCATGATGTTTACGCAACTGATGACACAGGACAGTTCGGCATTGGTCCTTCCTGTTGTTTACATTGTAACCAGACAATGAGGAAGGAGCCAGTAGCTAAAGCCAAGGGAGGGGGGAGTGGAGGGCAGTGAGAAAAAGGTGTATGGAAAGGAACCAGGTGATGTTACCTTGACCCCTGCATTGAACATGGTGGGTGCCATGGTGGTCCTGACCAGTGCATTGGTTAGGTAATTTCTCTCCATTAACCTAAAGCAAAAGAACTAAGGTCAGACATTAGGAAGAACTGTCCAATGGGGTGAAAGAAGAGGAGAAAGATCACCTACTTTCCTGAATCTTGGAGATCCTGAAGACTGAGAGAGATAACTTAGAAATGTCTTAAATATACATACTTAGAGAAGTAGTGTCTGGTAGATGAGGGATGATTAGGCAGGCCCAGTTAAGCCAAGGAGAAAGGACTTCACAGGGTGGGTAGGTTTGGGGTTTAGGGGATGTGAAAGGAGGAAAGAGAATACGTTACCTGCTTACCAGGGGTCGAAATAGCCACAGGTTGCTCAGGACTATATTGATGGGGAAGGGGAACTGAAAGGGAAAGAACAGGTCAGCTGGATTTCAGAGGGGTCAGCCCAACAGGGTCAGTGTTCCTGAGGCCTGAGTCTCTCTCTACTTTAGACCTGCCTCAGGGATGCTTAGAGGTCAGGAGTGCTGCTGAGTTCAGTTAGCTCAATCTCTGCTAGAAGGCCAGGGAACGGGAAGCAATTACTTACTACCTGGCTGGGCTTATCTGATTGGTTAGAACAGTTGCTCAGCAGCCTCAAGGATGAGTGGGAACCAGCTCCCAAAGGTACCAGGGTATATTAGATCTTAGGGTCTCAGATGAACACCACCACCAAGATCCCTTCATCTCAGCTCAGCCACTGGCTGGGAAGAGATGAGAACGGCCAGAGCCCTGGTCAGCACCAGGGCCCCTTTAGTACCCTAAAGGTCACTTCTCTGCCGCCTCGTTGTTCCTAGGTGACCAGGAGTATGCGACACTCCTTCCCTACCTCATTTGCCAGTTGCTGCACTGTCGTCTCTAATGGCCCGCTTGCAAACATGTGAGGCATTGGTGTCTGCTCCAGTCTGGAAGAGAAACAGAGTTCTCAGGACTCAGACAACCCCAGACAAAGATCAGTGGCCTGAAGGAGAAGGAAGGAGGTAGGAGGAAGTTTCCACAAGCCTGGCCAGGAGTTCTCCCATTCCCCTCCCTATCACCTGCACCAACTCAACATTGTGAAGAGGTCAAAACACCAGCAAGACCACCTGTGCTCTACCAGCAGCAGCTTTCCCTGTCTACAAAGTCCATGTTAGGGTCCCTCCTCCCTGCTACACTGCTCTCCGGCATCCTGTGTGTCCACTCTCATAGCACCTCCCACACGGCAGCAGAACTGTCAGTCTCCTCCGCTAACCATGAGTTCCTTGAGGACAGGGGCTGTTTCATTCATTACCGTACACCTACCGACTAGGTCAAGGGGGTAGGTAACACAGGTCAAGGCACAAAGCCTTGACCATGGTGGCTATTCAGTTCAATATTTGTGAAATGTTTATATCTCTTCTTCCCACTTTGCTAAGAAAACCCAGCCAGGGGTGAGCTCTGCTGTTAGAGATCCTATTGTCTCTGCCCACAGCCAACACACATATCTTTGTCCTCCTGCCAGGGCAGGTGGAGAATTTAGACAGCTCTACAAGTCATTGCCGACATGTGATTTCTAACTATATGGACTCTGGGCTACATGACTGAGCTTTTGCCTGCTGACCCTTGCTTGCCATATGGATATACTAAAACTTCCCCTTTTGCCCCTAGCCCTTGCCTAGGTACTGGTGGCTCTGTCCCTCCTGTGGCCCATGCTATGGCTTCCCAGCCCAGGTTCAGGGCAGAAAGCTAAGCCTCCTCAAACTCAAAGTGGGAAAGTACCAGGTCTTCCATCCTAAGTCTGGCATGGGAGCAGGGCCAGGAGCTGCTTACCGGCTGATAGCGGCCGCCAGGATGCCAATGCTTGTCTCCTTTGGCGGAGCTGAAGAGTGGCCCGGAGTCATGTTTACTCGCAGCATGAGGTCAATTGCACCCTTCTCTGAGACTGAAATCCTACAGAAGAGGATCAGAGATAGCCGTCCTGACTTCTTCCCATCCTGAATTATCCCATAGGCCCACCTGGGTGGTGGTGGTCTGGTGGGCTAGGAGGTCAGCTTTATGCTGCTTTGAAAAATATACACTAGGGGAAGAAGGAAAGCGGAAGTCCAGGACAGGTTGAAGATCCGGGTGATTAAGGCAAGAGGGGTAAACAAAGGGTTGTCTCAGCATGGCTGACATACACCAGGCTGGGGTCATCTCAAATGGCGTGGGAACCCCTTCCAAGGTCAGGGAGGGGTGGTTTACTCACATGGCAAAAGGCTTCTTGACGTAGGAAATGACACCATCCAAGATAAAGCTACCCTCATCCACAATGAAGGCTAGCTGGACGCCCCTTGCCTGTAGCAGGGCTGAGATCTTCCGAGCCCCATTCATCCCTGATACCTGTAGACATTAAATACAGAGCCAGAGTCCTTCTCAGTCAGAGACAGACCTCCAGAGATAGCTAATGGGAACCCACTCAGCTTAGCTAGGGGCTCTAGAACCTTCCCATCTAGTCTCCTTCCCGTGGGGCAGGACCCTAGACAATCCTGCCTCATAGAATCCTGGAATGTCATAGCTGGAAGGACCCAACTCCCCTCCCTACATGAATGAAGAAACTGAGGCCCAGAGAGTGAAGTGATTTGCCCAGAGTCTAAGTAAGAGGCATCACTGAAAATAAAACCCAGTCATTGTTCAGTTCTCTTTCCACCACACCAGTGGTTTCTCAAGGTATAGTTGATGGATCACTTACCTGTCTCGGACATTACCAGAGAATTTGTTTAAAATTCAGACCCAAGGCACAGAGCCCACGAGTCTGAATTTTTGTCAAGGTCCTTAGATAATTCTGGCACATGGACACACAGAGAAGTTGGCAAACCACTACACCATATCATGGAGACCCTGCAGCTAGGGAGCAAACTGGACTAGAGTGAAGTACCTGCTCCACTCCCAACAGGGGTCCCAGAGGTAGGCATAGGGTGAGGAGACTCTACCTCCTCATCATGGCCCAGAGCAATGAAGAAAGATCTTCGGGGGATATAGTTCCTTATCAGCAGGAGCTCCAAGGCTTGCAGGAGTGCCTGGGATTCAGAAGCATAATGGAAGATAAAGGCTTATCATTTAAGCAGGTGTACCAGGGTAGCAGAGACATTCATTCAGCTGCCTGCAGCAAGGCTGATGGGACCAGGATCTGACAGATTCTCTTTTAACACAACAAATTCAAATGGTTCTGAGGATCAGATGTGGGGAAGCAGAACTCTGAATAAAACCTTTTTTCTTTTGAGACAGAGTCTCACTCTGTTGCCCTGGCTAGAGTGCCGTGGCGTCAGCCTAGCTCACAGCAACCTCAGACTCCTGGGCTCAAGTGATCCTTCTGCCTCAGCCTCCCGAGTAGCTGAGACTACAAGCACGCACCACCATGCCCGGTTAATTTTTTCTATATATTTTTAGTTGGCCAATTAATTTGTTTCTATTTTTAGTAGAGACAGAGTCTTGCTCTTGCTCAGGCTGGTTTTGAACTCCTGACCTTGAGCGATCCGCCTGCCTTGGCCTCCCAGAGTGAGGCCAAGCTAGGATTACAGGCGTGAGCCACTGCGCCTGGCTTCATAAAATCTTTACCATCTGGAGGAAAGCATAAACTTATCAATGTCAGAGCTGAAAAGGTCCCCGGCGGGGGGAGGTCACCTATTCCAATCCCTATTTACAGTTGAGAAATCAAGGCTCAGAAAAGGGAAGTGACAAACTGACGGCTGGAACCCAGGTCTTCTGGAGCTAAGGTTCTTCTACCATTACCTCCTACCTCCCAGGGGTCAGCCAAGTACTCCCATCCTGAGTTGATCTTTAGAGCCCTAAGGCAGAGGGAATATAGCATTTCAGACCATCAGAGAGTTCTTGTTGTCCAGTGTGCCCCGACCATGGATGAAGCCATCGTGCTCTAGTCCAGAGAACGGGGGCACTTCCCAGCCTTCTTTAGGGGCAGGTACCACGTCAAGGTGAGCCAATAGCATGTAGGGCTGCAAGCTGGTGTCTGAGCCTCGGACAGTGAACAGGTGGGAGTATTCTCCCACAGTTTCATGCTGGATAAAGCTGGTGTTGAACACTGTAGGAAAGACTAGAGGCAAAAGGATAAAAAACAAGGAGAGAAAGCGAGGTTTAACAGTTTCCTTAGGTTTTCCTGCCGTTTTCAGCTCCCTGTTCTTCTTCTTCTTCTTCTTTTTTTTAATGTATCCTCCTTTGGGAGGTCTTCTGGGACACAGCCAGTCTGACTCCTGATCCGCCTGGACAATATTTGAAATTCTTCTTCTACATATTTTAATGTGCAGTTACTATGGAATAACATGCAAACCAAGACCCCACCATTAAGATAAAGAAAAATGGCCAGTATATCTCAAGATTGGGCTTGGTCTGACCTATAACATGCCATCACGTGTATGTGTTTAAGGGCCATGCAGACTAGGGGTGTGCTAAAGTTTCAATATAGTAGGCCCCATCAGCTAAATTACTTGGAATCAAACATGACGGTTATATAAAAAAATTCAGAGATATTTTTTCTTTTAAAAAAATAGCTTATCTACTGTTTGTTTAAAAAAATAGCATATCTACTGTTTGTGTTATATGGAGGTAAAGATTATCCTGTCTGGCTCAAGGTCACACTTCTGTGTGCAGGGGTGGATATTCCTGAGACAGAACGGGGACAGGACTCAGGCCCACACCCCTGACCACAGAAGTCAACATAACCTGGCCTAATTAGCTGCAGAAGAGCTAAAACAAATAGTCTCCTAACTGCCAGAATTCAGCCCAGACTCATATAAGGAAAGGGCTGAACTATCTGTCTTGTAATGTTTTTCAAGACCACTAAAGCAGGACACTGACACAAGCTGATAAGGTACCTGGCTAAAAAGAAACCAGACCTCTCTGGATCTAATCACTTCAAGCTAGAATAGACCCCCCCACTACTGACCTTACCTTGACTCATTTTAATGCCAAAAATCACGCTGGGGTAGAGATTTAACATGCTAATGAAACATGCAATACATGAAGAAGCAACTAAAAGAACTATGCAAGCATAGGAAAATCTCCACCTCTACATGCTTATCTGTCACCCCTTTCCTGCCTAAGTCTCTTTAAAACTCTCCCTGAACTCCCTGTGGAGAGCCAGCCTGAGAATCCTTCCTGCTACACTGACTCCCTTTGCTAGAGCATAAGCCCCAGTCAAGCCTTGTCTGGGAAAACTTGTTTAGCTTCTTGTCAATTTCCATTGCATGCAGAACCTAAGAACCCATGGTGGTAACATTCCCAGGGTCAATTACTTGAGTGGCCTTAGCTACATGGGAGAAAGAACTTTTATCTTCCTCTGGGCTTTGTTGGAAGAATCCACTTATACCTATGTGGATACCAGGAAAGAAAAAACTGAAGAAGAATATGATTTTATCTCGTCACCCAGCTTATCTGGTTTATTGTCACGGTACACTTATTTCCCTATTTTTTTTTTTTTTTTTGAGACAGAGTCTCACTTTGTTGCCCGGGCTAGAGTGAGTGCCATGGCATCAGCCTGGCTCACAGCAACCTCAAACTCCTGGGCTCAGCAATCCTACTGCCTCAGCCTCCCGAGTAGCTGGGACTACAGGCATGCGCCACCATGCCCGGCTAATTTTTTTTTTTTTTTATATATATTTTTAGTTGGCTAATTAATTTCTTTCTATTTTTGGTAGAGACGGGGTCTCGCTCAGGCTGGTTTCGAACTCCTGACCTTGAGCAATCCACCCGTCTCAGCCTCCCAAAGTGCTAGGATTACAGGCGTGAGCCACCGCGCCCGGCCTTTATTTCCCTATTTTTATCTCCTATTTAGTAAAGTCTTCCAGCCTGGCCTCAGGTTGGCTACTAGGCATGAATCCCAGATCCACTTGTCCCAGAGTGCTAGAGAGGGGGCTACTTGCTACTCCTAGATCAGCCCCTCCCACCCAACAACTTTGGAGGGGCTGGTTTTTATTTGATTTAGGAGGTTCCCCTCACTACTCTCCATGAGATCTTCCTAAGGGGAAGGGGGGTAGTTCTAAGAATCCTTTTTGCCATTGACCCATGCTTCCTCAGCTCTGCATGCTGTGGGTGGTGGGGATGGGAGGAGAGGACAGACATCACAGCTTTAAGCTGTTGACTGCCTAGAAGCCTAGAAATGTGTTAGCAATGAATCTGGAGTAGGCCTGAGTATGTAGAGTGCATCCGTGCAGGTGTGTGTAAAGAGGTAGGGGTGAGAGGAGCATAGGTCATAGTTCTGGACATATGCACAGGTAGAAGGAACCTTTAGTTCTTCAAAAAGATAATCTTTTGATTACCTAATATTTATTGAGTGACACATATCTAGGGCAAAGATTAGGAGAGTTTATATTCCAACCTACTGCTATGTAGCTTAGTTCTTCAAAGGGCAAATCTATAGTCTCTACTCTGTCCATGGAGATTAAATTGTCCTTAATTCTTCACAAAATAAACTTGTCATGCTGTAAAAGAACTGTGTCTCCATTACTACCTGTACCATCACTTGGCCATGATTTGTGGCTTACCTTTACGAATGTATTCTCCAAACTCAGCCAGGGCTGTAGTATTGGACTCCTCAGGGCTGAAAGACACTGTTGGAATCTGGATGGCACCTGTCAGAGTCAAATAGAGGTGAAGTTTAAAGATGATAACAACCTTTTTTTTTTTTTACAGTCCTCTGTGCATAAAAACTTCTTTTGTGTTCATTATCTTTCTGCAGAGGGCAAAAGAATCTTGTGAGGTAGGCACTGTTGTTTTCCCTAGTTCAAAGAAAAAGAAACAAGTTTAGAGAGGTTGGGGAAGCTACCTGAGATTGCCCAGCAACAAGCAGAATTGGGACTTAAGCCCAGGTCTTCTGGGCTTGTTTAGGCTAATATGATTATTGAAGGAAAATAAAGTACAAGGTTGTGGGGGAGTAGATTTTGGACCCTAATCCTGAGGGGGAAAAATTTCTACTACATATTTCTTCCTAAGCCTCACTCTGCCTCTGAAACCACCACTCCCTTTGATGAATCCAAGCTTCATCAGTCTCAAGGAATCCACTGTCCTGGGTCCCTACATCAATGAGGCTGTGTGCTTTTGTGTGTAAACGGTGGGCTTATTCCCTACAGACTGGCTCACCCAGAGTCTCACAAATCTCTCAACTGAGGCCAGCTTTTGGGGCATACGCTGTCTGGGAAAGGGTGGATTTAAAAGCTCCCAAGCAAGCTCTTCAGTCCTAAATTAATCTCATTCTCCCTACCCAGTTGTCTCAATTCCTGAATTGTCACTATGCTTATCTGTTTGTCTTTAAGGCTTTAAGTTTTAAAGGGTTCCATTATCAAATGCAAACATCACTAGGAGGAGAGAAACACAATCCAAGAATACAGAACAAATTCACCTGGGGCAGCTTGGCAACCAGGGACGGCCTCTGAAAGACATTCAGTTTTGCTAAGGATCAACCCCACGTCATCATAGCCCACCACATAGATGGGGAAGCTGAGGCTCAAAAAGATTCAAGAGCAGACCCAAGATCTGAACTCAGGTCTTAGAACTCCCTGCTCAGAGTTCTAAGATAGGTTGCTGTAAGGCCCCTACTCTAGGTTTTTATCTAGCTGTTGCTCTTTTCTGTGCAGAGACTCTGAGAGGCTGCCTAATGCCTTTTAGAGGAATATTTATATTATGCTTTGGGAAAGCCCTGATCTGTCCCAGGCCTATCAGTCCATCGCATATACAATCTATATCCAACCACAGGGGCTAGCTTTTAGTCTCTGCTTTTGACTGCACATGTTAACGTAGGCAGTTTCTCTTGATCCATTATTTAATGAAATGGAAAAAACTGGAGCTAAGCCTGATAGTGAAGAAGCATCTCACCACTCCACAGGACCTAGCACTCACAGAAACTTTCCTCTTTTCTGCATTTTCTCTTGGAAAATGCAGACTCAGAACTGAGTTTTTGTAAATTCTAGCCTAGCTAGAATTTTTGTGAATGAGTTTAGTGAATGATTTTTTAGTCTTGGTTGGAGGTCTAGGGGAGAGATGTTCTTCAACTAGAAGAGGGAATTAGGAACATCCCACATCCCAGGAATACTCCAAACCCCTTCTTAGAGCCATCTGGAGCCCAGCAAGTCCTACAGGCATTAGATATTGTCACCCAGTGCCCACTCTTTGCTATAAGACCCTGCAGAAGATCATTTAACTGACCCAAGCCTTCATTTCCCTTCCCTGTAGATAAGACAAAGATCATTTAGTCTTTTTTTTTTCACCTTTTTTCTTCTCAAACTTTAGTGTGCATCAGAATTTTTATTTTTTTTATTTTTTTCCTTTTCTCAAAATAAGCTCTTTTTCGCCTTCGTGCTCCCACTGCCATTTGTTTTTGTTTGTTTTGTTTTTTTTTTTGAGACAGAATCTCATTCTGTTACCCCTGCTAGAGTGCCGTGGCGTCAGCCTAGCTCACAGCAACCTCAAACTGCTGGGCTCAAGCAATCCTACTGCTTCAACCTCCCGAGTAGCTGGGACTACAGGCATGCGCCACCATGCTCAGCTAACTTTTTCTATATATTTTTAGCTGGCCAATTAATTTCCTTCTATTTTTCAGTAGAGACGGGGTCTCACTCTTGCTCAGGCTGGTCTCTTGCTCAGGCTGGTCTCGAACTCCTGACCTCGAGCAATCCGCCCGCCTCGGCCTCCCAGAGTGCTAGGAGACAGGCGGGAGCCACCGCACCCAGCCTCATCTTAGTCTTATTTTGAGATACCGCAGAGATTTAACAGAGGTGGCAACTCACAAAGGTTAAAAGTGCTGTATGAATGAATGCTGTTGTAATACTCAAGGCAAGCGGAGAAAGAGTGGTCAGCGGCCACGCCAAGAAGGGGGAAGTTGGAGCTTCCTGGCCAGGCAGGGGACACTGGAGTCCCAGAAGCCAGGTGTGGCGTTAAGGGTGGCGTCCCCAACCCGGGCACAATATGCCAGGACGGGCGCTGGGGCCGCCGGGCTGGGGCGTGCGGCGGAGCTCCGGCTGAAGTAGCAGAGGGAGCGGGAGTCACCGTTGACCCGAGGAGGGAGGGGCCACACCTGGGCGCGGGCAGGCGACGGGGACCCAGGTTCACCTTTCAGCGCCTCTTTCATCGCCACGCGCTCCTCTTCGCCGAACTGAGAAGGGATTCGCGACGTCCCCTGATGCTCCCTGCCCCTCAGGCCCTTCGGTACGGAGACGGTGGCAAAAACTAGGAGCAGCACAGCCGCCAGGGCCAGCACGCAGACGTACCGCTGCGCCATGCTTGCTCCTCTCGAGTCCGCGCCGCCAGCCTGCCGCTGGGACCCGCACCTGAACTCCCCGACCGCCGGCCTCGCCCTGTCTGCGCTCCAACTCCCGCGATCGGCCTCAGCCCCACCCCTTTCCCAGAGCTGGCCAATCACCGCTCGGCGGGGGCTGCGGAACAACCAATCCGACGGGCCGGCCCCGCCCCGGCCCCGCAAGGCCTGTTGGGGGTGTGGTTTCTCGCGCAGTCGCAGGCGGAGGTGGAGCATAGGTGAGCGCGGCCTCCGGGCGAGGGTCAGGTCGCGTCTGCACGCGATCTGCCCCTGGCGCGCCTCAGCCGCTTGCTGTGTGACTGTGAGTCAAACTAAAGGGGGAAAAAAAAGCGACATAAAATGCATGAAGTTTGTCAGACCGTATTCTTTTTTTGTTTTCTTCTGAAGCTTAGCATTTGACTTCCATTCCCTAGATTCCGTGGGGGATCTCTCCGGGATCCTAGCTTGAGATTTAATCTGAAATTGGAACAGCACTGCTCTCTTTATAGATTATTGCTTAGAAGGTTTGTTTGCTCTTGTTCTCGAATTCCATTGAAAGTATTTTGGATATTAATATTAACGCTACATTTTTGCGACTCTGGTCAAATACACTAAGACTGAAGGATTTTTACAAAGATTACTGTAAAAATATTTAAGAACATTTTGTTGCATTAATAATTTTGATGCATTAAATTGAAATTTCATAGTTCAGAGTGGAGGATCATTCTTTTAAAAAATACTCTTATGTCAGTATAAAATTAGATTTTTTTGCTTAGATTTACGATTTTTTTCCTTTATTGTTACATAATCTTTCACCTCTTTGTGGGTATATGTATTTTTTACAGGCATAGAATATGTAATGATTGATTCAGGGTATTTGGGGTATCCATCAACTTGAATATTGATAATTTGTATGTGTTGGTAATATTTCAAGTCCTCTTTTCTAGCTGTTTTGAAATACAACATATTGTTGCTTACTATAGTCACCCTAGTCTGCTATCGAAGTTAGAATTTATTTCTTATATCTCACTATAAGTTTGTACCCATTTACCAACTTCTCCTCCACCTACCCTTCCCAGTCTCTGGTATCTATCATTCTATTCTCCACCTCCATGAGTTCAATTTTTTTTTAGCTCCAACATATGAATTAGTCTGACAGTGGTCCCCAACCTTTTTGACACCAGGGACCCATTTCATGGAAGACAATTTTTCCACAGACAGAATGGGGGGGAGAGGTGGAGGTCAGACAGTGATGTGAGCAATGGGGAGTGGCTGTAACTACATACAGATGAAGCTTAGAAGCTTCACTTGCTAGCCCACTGCTCTTCTCCTGCTGTGTGGCCTGTTTCCTAAGTTTTATGGAAGATAATTTTTTTCCAGAGGGTTTGGGAGGGATAGAGTTCAGGCAGCCCTGTGCCTGATTCCTAACGGGCCATGGACCAGTACCAGTCCATGTTGTTTAATTTCTGTGTATTCATATCGTTTCCAAAGTTCCTTTTGGTGTTCATTTCTAGTTTTGGTCTATTGTGGTCTGAGAAGATACGTGATGTTACTTTGATTTTTAAAAATTTGTTGAGACTTGTTTTGTGGCTACTAATATATGGTCTATCTTGGAGAATATTCCATGTGCTGATGAGAAGAATGTATATTCTGTAGTCATTGGATAAAATGTTCTGTAAATGGCTGTGAGGCTCATTTGGTCCAGAGTACGTACAGTTTAAATCTGATGTTTCCTTGTTGGTTTTCTGTCTAGATGATCTGCCTAAGGCTGAAAGTGGGGTGTTGAAGTCCCCCACTATTATTGTATTGGAGTCTCTGTTTAGATTTAGTAATATTCGTTTTATGCTCCAGTGTTGGGTACATATATATTTAGAATTGTTATATCCTCTTGCTCGCTTGATCCCTTTATCATTATACAATGACCTTCTTTCTCTTTTTTCTTTTCTTTTCTTTTTGACTTAAAGTCTGTTTTGTCTGATATCAGTATAGCTACTCCTGCTTGATTTTGGTTTCTGTTTGTGTGGAATATCTTTTTCCATCCCTTTGCTTTAAATCTATATGTGTCTTTGTAGGTAAAGTGCCTTTCTTATAGGCAGCATGTAGTTGGATCATGTTTCTTTATGTATTCAGCCAGTCTCTATCTTTTAAGTGGAGAATTTAATCCATTTTCATTCAAAATTATTATTGATATGTGAAGTTTTTATTTCTGTCATGTTGCTAATTGTTTTATATATTCTTTGTTCCTTTCTTTTTCTCTTACTGATTGTCATTGTGGTTTGGTGGTTTACTGTAGCAGTACCCTTGGGTCTTTTCTCTTCCTCATTTGTGTGTTTGGTTTACCAGTGAGTTTTATACTTTTATGTATTTTCATGATGATAAATGTCTTTTCACTTCCAAGTTTAGGACTCTCTTAAGCATTTCTTGTTGGGCTCTTGTAGCTGTTGTAGGTGGGGACTGACCCTATCAGATATTAAAAAATACTGCTGTCTTGGTCTTTGTGAGTTGCTATAACAAAATACAATAGATTGGGTGGTGTATAAACAACAGAAATTTATTTCTCACTGTTCTGGAGACTGGGAAGACCAAGATCAAGGTCCTGGCAGATTCAATGTCTAGTGAGGGTCCTCTTCCTGGTCTACAGATGGTTGTCTTTTCACTGTATCCCCTCATGGAAGAAAGGGTGAGGGATCTCTCTGGATCTCTTTTATAAGGGTGCTAATCCCATTGATGAAGACTCCACCCTCATGACCTAATCACCCGCAAAGGCCCTACCTCCTAATACTATCACCTTGGGGGTTAGGATTTCAACATATGAATTTTAGGGGGACACAAATATGCAGTCCATAGCAACTACAAAGCTTCAATAATTATCTATATACCTATCTACCTATCACTCATCCTCATTGGTATGGACTCAATTCTTGTTTTAATGGTTTAAAATTCATTATTGTATTTCATTATTTTGGTGTTCAAATTGTCCCACATTTGGCTAGTAGAAACCACTTTATTCTGGTTCCTTTGACCTTGTTACATGCTTCCATCATTTTTTTGTGAACAATTCCTTGCTTTCCTACATAAAAATATGTTGCAGACTTATCTTGTACCAATCCTGCCCTGGCCCTGGAATCAGCCATTTCTCCAAGGAGATATATTTTCTTATAGACAGGAATTGTATTAGAAGCTGAAATAGAGTGCTAGATGTATTCATTGATACTGGGTATCTTTGCTTAGTGGAACTTTCAGCAGTCAGTACTATGAAATATATCCATGTATATACACACACACACACACACAGAAATATATCCATGTATATACACACACACACACACACATGCACGCATGCACATAGTTACATGTTGCTTAGCAGTGGGGACACATTCTGAGAAAATGCGTTGTTAGGCAATTTCGTCATTGTGTGAACATCATAGAGTGTATTTACACAAACCTAGATGTTATAGCCTATTACACACTTAGGCTAAATGGTGTAGCATATTGCTCCAAGGCTATAAACCTGTATGGCATTTTACTGTACTGAATACTGTAGAAAACTGAAACACAATGGTAAGTATTTGTGCATCTAAATGTATCTAAACAGAGAGAAGGTATGGTAAAAATGCAGTTTCTCATTGACTGAAACATCATTATGTGGTGCATGACTGCATACCCGTACATACAAACATATATACACACGCATATATATTCATAAACAGGCATGCAAACATACATATATACGTTTCAGAAATTTTGGAGAGAATGGGCAAGAAGAGAGGTCTCTTGCTCATAGTAGGATGCTGAGGGCTTATTGGTAAATGTAGAGGATGTGCTAGAGTTGGAGAATCATTTTGCAACTATCATAGAAATGACAGGATCAGACAAGAATTGTTAATGGATGTTTAATCTAGGGGGAAATTTTAATAAGCAGCAGAATATTTACATGGTCTTAAAGTGTCTCCTCACAAACTATCAGTTGCCAGGGAGAAAAAAAAAACACCCAGTAATTGTATAGTAATTGGACAATAGCCTGACTGGGTAATCAAAATTAATTTCACCTTGAGAGGCTGATGGACATCATGTGCTTGCAGAGATGATAGGCAGAAAAGGTCAGAGCATTACCTATGTCGTATTCTGGGAGAGAATGCAAAACTTCAATGTTATCACGAGGAAATCTCAGACAAATGCAAAATGAGGAATATAAGAAAAAGGGTAGGTGAACCATAGTCTCCAAAAATGTCAGTGTTGTAAAAGACAAAGACAAGTGTGGAAATGTTCCAGATTAAAGGATGCCGAAGAGATACAACTAAATTCAATACTTGACCTTAGATTAAATCCTGAGCTGGAGAGAAAAAAATGCTACAAAGGACTTCATTAGATCAACTGACAAAATTGGAATGTGGATGGTAGATTAAAGTATTATATCAATGTTAACTTATTAAGGGGATAACTGTCCTGTGATTATGTAGATTATCTGAGGGAATACACACTGAAGTATTTAGGACTAAAGGACTTTATCCTTAAATGGCTCAGAAAAAAGTCATGTGTGCCCCCAGAGAGAAAGAAAAGGAGAAAGAATGAGAGAGTAAATGATAAAGCAAATAGGGTAAAATATCAACAATAAGTGAACTAGAGTAAAGGACATACTAAGTTCCTTGTGTTACACAACTTTTTCTTAGTTTGAAATTCTTTCCAAATAAAAAGTTAAAAAAAAAATACTTTCTTAAAAAAAAATCTTCATTGAAGGAAAAGTGTATACTGATAGCTCTGGAAAGTAGGAAGTAGCTCACATAATTCTAAAGAATCTGCTTTCATGTTATGCCATTTAGTCTAAGAGTCAGAAAGTCTTCTTCTTCTTCTTTTTTTTCTTAAAGTTATTTGGAGTGGATTAGAGTCCAGAAGTCTTTGTGTCATCTTGCATGATCGGCCATCTGGAGCTGGGGCTCCTTTGACAGCACCCCTGATGGGTGATTAGCTTGTTCCTTCTTGAACACATTCAGCAATTCACAGTCTTAACAGTATCCCATTCTAATTTAGAGTGGTGAGATGGCCATCTTACAGATGTTTCGATTCTACTTCTAAATACTACCAAAGCCATGTTGTAGTTATACGACTATAGGTAACATTGGGTTTTGAAGATGTGAAGTTAAAGAGATGTACCCGATTTAGATGCCACGTATGTGCCACTCAGAACCCTCCCACTAGGGCCTCTGCTGGGGTGATCGTTCTGAGCAGTTTTCCTGCTGGCTCCTCCCTGGTCCCATGCCCCATCCCTTCTTTCCTGCAGGGGCTTTACTGATGTCACATGGGTCACCTTGGAAACTACTCTGCCCTCCTACCCTTGCAATCTGTACTTGTTGGAGAGTTCATACCCACGAGGCCCCCTTGATCAGTGAGGATGGGGGTGATGGCTAACTGCTTCTGCAGGACAGTTTGCAGATGCGTCTCACAGGACTCCTGGGAAGGCGGTGGGCTGCAGCCCCAGCTGCCCTCTGCAGTGGCTGCCTTGGTGACTCATTCTTGTGTTGGCTTTCCCTGCCTCCCTGTTTCACTCCTTTCCGTCACTCCTGTTCCCTGAAGTCATGCCCAAATAGCCTGTGCACAGGCTTTGGTGTCAGGTTCTGTTTCTAGGGGGAATCCAGGCTAAGATATCATCATTAAAAAAAAAATCTAAAAGTCATGTGGAAGGATGCTAATTGCTAATTTACCCAAATCTCCCAGCCTAGCTGAATAGCAGGATATAGCAAGATTATTATTTCTTAAATAAATATTTTGGAACTCACAGACTTCTATGCGTCTGAGACCAATCTTCCTCCCTGATCTGTCTCTTTCTCTTCTAGTTCTTTCCATTTCTTTGTGCCCACGCATCTCTGTCCTGCTGACCATTCATCTCCCTTCCCTCTTTGCTTTCTCTTCCCTCTGGTCCTTCATCTCTCCCCGCTTCATCCTGTTTCTGTCTCCTTCACGCCTTTCCTCTTTGTTTTCCTCTCATGTCCTTCTGTGTCCTGCTGTGGTATGCAAAGTTGGGAGGCACCCTAGCTTGTGGGACACTTGAGACCTTACCCTTCTT